TCTTTCATCCAGTTTGGAGCGACATCCTGATCCAGGGAGGGTCTGTGTTGTACCAAATACCTTCCACTTCTTAATAATAGACTTCACTGTGCTTCTAGGCATTGATAAACCCATCTGCTGACTTGTGCCCATCCACAACTTTATCCCGGAGATCTTTTCACAGTGCCTTGCCACCCATAGTTGATTTCTTCAGTTGCACTACCAGGGACTGAAATGCTCCAGGAAAGCTCTTTCATGCTGAGCTAATCAAAATGACCACAGCTGATCACAGTGCAAGTCAAATGGCATTGTGTGCCATTGAGAAGGTGATTAGCTACACCTGATTGAGTTTACAAGTCATTTTTAGGAGGGGTGATCCTTTTTTCAACTCAGTGATTCTGTTTTTGAATTTTTTTTTTCTGACATGTTGGTGTTAAATCTTTCACTTGGAGATATTATAAGTTGAAACTGGATAAAACAAAAACTGTGTCTGTCTTAATTTTAGGCTGCAAGGCAACAACATGTGATTATTTTAAAGGGGGTGATTCTTTTCTATACCCACTGTACAGTCTTAGTCCGTAGTGTTCAATATTGAGGTGGCCCACCCTTTTGCCGCTATAACTGCTTCAACCCTTCTGGGAAGGCGTCCACAAAGTTTAGGGGTGTGTCTATGGGAATGTTTGACCATTCTGAGCATTTGTGAGGTCAGTGTAACGTCCCTACCTCTTAGCAGGGATCCCGGCCAGCATCAGCGGCAATGTCGGAGCTCGGTGACGTCATGAACGGCGTCATCCGACTCCTCCCCCTTCTCCTATTTCAGGGCGGCAAATTCAATTACCTGGCGTGCTTGCTTTGAGCCTGACGCCAGGTATCTATCCCCTGAGCACACCACTATTGGGCCGGACGAGAGCCCCATCTCTACTCCACTATTGGGCCGGACGAGAGCCCCATCTATATCCCACATATTGGGCCGGACAGAGCCCCATCTCAGCTCCCCTCGGTGTGGCCGACAGCGCTCTTTCCCCCTTGGCAGGTGCATCCACTCCACGGCCGTGCTGCCGACCGAACCTCCTGTGAGAGAGCTCGTTCCCACCTACCATCAACTGAGCCAAGACCTGCACTTCTCATTTCGGGCCACGGGGTGGCAGCAACGCACCTCAGAACTGCTAATTGCAAGTATCAAGCCACTATACATAATGTTAACCTGAACTGCCATTATATAGAGCTTGATCCTGAACTGCCATTACAAGTATAAGCTTAATACTGTGCTATCATTATTAAAAGCTTAACTACTGAACTGCCATTGTGTGTATATATATACTTAACCCCGGATTGTCATACCCAACCATTCATTCAGTTGTTCCATACCTGAATGTACAACGCCCAAACCAATAAACCCATCTGTTAACAACCCTCTGAAGCTGAGATTCAATACAAACCCTTAGCATACAAATACCACGTTAGAGAAAGCAAGCACCCTCCTCAAAAAAAAAAAAGGAGAGAATGGATCCAACAGAGCTAGTTAACCACATGGGGGCGTTCAATCAAAGACTTGATGCTCTATCAAAGATGGTCACAGACCTCTCAACTGAAAATCGGTCTCTCAGGTCATATGTCACAGAGAACCTCCCAACCCGTGTAGCAACACCTGACCCACCAGAACCTAAAATAAGCCCACAAGATACCTTCTCGGGTGATAGGAAAAAGTACAGAGAATACATTAACGCATGTAAATTACTTTTTGACATGAAGCCACGTACCTATGCCACTGACAGGACCAAAGTATGTACTGCCATCTCCTACCTCAGAGGGGAACCCCGAGCCTGGACGAACACGTTTATTGAGAGAGATGATCCCATTCTCAACTCGTTTAGAGATTTCAGTGCCGCTATGGATCTCCTCTATGATGACCCCAGTAAACAGATCTCAGCTGAATCTGCACTACTTTGGATGCTCTTATGCAACTTAGCATTTCAATCGACAGGAGACTTAGGGAACGAAAGGCTGAGAGACTCACGGGAATTACATATGCAGCCCCCCGGGGTCCACCTGTTGAGTCGGTTGTACCTATGGAGATAGGTGCGATCAGGGGACCACTTACCCCAACCGAGAGGGCTAGGCGCAGGTCCCTTCAGCTATGTATGTACTGCGGGGGGCCGCATCACACCACTGAAGACTGCTCCTTACTTAAGAAGAAAAAGCCCGGTAAGTCATCATACCTCTGCAAACTCCTAAATCCCCAACTATCTGAATCTAATTATTTCAAAATTCTTGTCTCTCTGCAGTGGGACCAATCCCGAATTACCTTACAGGCCATGATTGACACCGGGGCTTCACCAGCAGCAGCAGGCATGTTTTTCGTCCGGAACAAGGATCAAAGTCTCCGTCCCATAATTGATTACAGAGAGTTAAACAAAATCACACTGAAAAATAGATACCCACTACCTCTCATTCCTGAATTATTGGAACGCCTACAAACCGCGAAATTTTTTACTAAGCTGGATTTGAAGGGAGCCTACAACTTGGTCCGAATCCGCCAGGGCGATGAATGGAAGACCGTCTTCCGTACTAGGTATGGCCTGTATGAATACCTCGTCATGCCTTTTGGTCTGTGCAATGCTCCCGCCACATTCCAGTTCTTCGTGAACGATATCTTCAAGGACCTCCTTGATGTCTGTCTAGTCGTTTATTTGGACGACATACTCCTCTACTCCGACAACCTAACAGACCACCGCAAGCATGTTAGATGGGTTCTTTCTAGGCTTCGTGTACATAATCTATACGTTAAATTGGAAAAGTGCACTTTTGAATCTAACACCATTGCATTCCTCAGCTACATCATTTCTCAGAAAGGCATACAGATGGACCCGGGTAAGATCGACTGTATCCAAAAATGGCCTAGACCTCAGAACCGGAAGGCCCTTCAAAGATTTCTGGGTTTTGCGAACTTCTATCGCAAATTCATCAGGAATTTCTCCCAGGTAGTAAAACCGCTAGCCCAACTAACAAGCAGCCTCAAAAACTATGTTTGGAATAGTAGTACACAGGAGGCCTTCGATAACTTAAAAGATCGGTTCACTTCTGCCCCCATCTTACACCTACCGCATCCTTCCCTTTAATAAATCTTAGAGGTTGACGCTTCTCATCTTGCTCTCGGGGCTATCCTATCCCAGAAAACCTCCAATGACGGACCTCTTCACCCTGTGGCTTTCCATTCCCGTTCCCTCACTCCCGCGGAGATCAATTACCCAGTGGGTGAGAAGGAACTGTTAGCCGTGAAATCAGCCCTAGAAACATGGAGACACCTTCTCAAGGGCACCCAGCTACCTTTTATAGTGTACACCGACCACCAAAACTTACAATATCTCCAGCGAAACAAAACTCTCTCCTCCAGACAGATACGTTGGGCCCTTTTCTTTGACAGATTCCACTTCATCATCACCTACCGACCTGGCTCAAAAAATGGTAAAGCTGACTCTCTATCTCGTCTGGAGGAACCCCAACTTTCTTCAGGTCCAAAAGCAGTTATCATCCCACAACAAAAAATGCTATGCACCACCCTGACTCTCAAAGAGGAGTTACAGCAGGCCATAGCCACAGAAAGCCCCTCTCTGGAGTTAGAGAGGGATGTCGAGGGCTTCCTCTATAAAGATAACCGGTTGTACGTCCCAAGTCCCCTACACCTCAGGATTCTACAACTCACCCATGACGCTCCTCTAGCTGGACACCCCGGCATCACTAGGACCCTGGATCTCATTCGCCGGTACTTCTGGTGGCCAAAGATGGAAGAGACTGTACGGGAGTATGTGATGTCCTGCGAAACGTGCGCTCGTTTCAAACACGAGTCCAAGCCACCTTTCGGTCTTCTCACAAGTCTTCCCATACCACACAAACCTTGGGAGGCCATTTCACTCGATTTTATTGTGGAATTACCCCGCTCCGGGGGTTACAACACGATTTTAGTCGCAGTTGACTCTCTCACTAAAATGGCCCACTTTGTGCCCCTCACAAAACTACCAACCACAAAGGAGACAGCCGAGATCTTAACACAGCATGTTTTCAAACTCCATGGAATCCCCTCTAGGATGGTGTCAGACCGGGGATCGCAATTCATTTCTAGATTTTGGAAGGCTCTCTGTCTCAAACTCCAGATTGACCATCGTTTATCCTCGGCCTACCATCCTCAAACGAACGGCCAAACTGAACGCATAAACCGCTGTCTAGAACAATACATCCGTTGTTACTGCACTCATCGACAAAACAACTGGCATGAGTTGGTTCCTCTAGCCGAGTTCGCATACAATACCAATACCAGTTCACCCTTCTATGCTAATTACGGTTTCCATCCTTCTTTCTCCCCTCAGGAGATTCCCACCAACAACCCTGCGGCTAACAATTTCGTCAACAACTTGAAAACCATTCTTCCTCTCTTACGCGACAACATCGCCAAAGCCCAGCGCAGGCAGAAGATTTACTATGACCTTCATAGGAGAACTCCACCGTCGTACCAAACCGGTGATCTGGTATGGTTGTCCACTAAACATCTTAACCTCCAGACACCTTCACGCAAGTTCAGTGGGCTATTCATTGGTCCCTTTCCCATAGACTCAGTAATCAACCAGGCAGCTGTGAAACTTGTATTGCCCCCAACCTTACGGATTCATCCTACGTTCCACGTCTCTCTGATCAAACCATACCGACCTAACACCTTCCCTGGTAGGGTTCCAGTTCCGCTACCGCCAGTCGTAGTCAATGGCCAGGAGGAATACGAGGTTGGACAGATTCTGGACTCCCGTCTTCATAGAAACCGGTTACAATATCTGATCCGCTATAAAAACTACGGTCCTCAAGATGATTCCTGGGAACCCGCCTCCGAGGTTCATGCTCCTCGCCTTGTTCGCTTGTTCCATTCTCACAATCCAGGGAGGCCTGGTCCCTTGGCCCCCAGGAGGGGTCCCTCAGGGGGGGGGTCCTGTAACGTCCCTACCTCTTAGCAGGGATCCCGGCCAGCATCAGCGGCAATGTCGGAGCTCAGTGACGTCATGAACGGCGTCATCCGACTCCTCCCCCTTCTCCTATTTCAGGGCGGCAAATTCAATTACCTGGCGTGCTTGCTTTGAGCCTGACGCCAGGTATCTATCCCCTGAGCACACCACTATTGGGCCGGACGAGAGCCCCATCTCTACTCCACTATTGGGCCGGACGAGAGCCCCATCTATATCCCACATATTGGGCCGGACAGAGCCCCATCTCAGCTCCCCTCGGTGTGGCCGACAGCGCTCTTTCCCCCTTGGCAGGTGCATCCACTCCACGGCCGTGCTGCCGACCGAACCTCCTGTGAGAGAGCTCGTTCCCATCTACCATCAACTGAGCCAAGACCTGCACTTCTCATTTCGGGCCAGCGGGTGGCAGCAACGCACCTCAGAACTGCTAATCGCAAGTATCAAGCCACTATACATAATGTTAACCTGAGCTGTCATTATATAGAGCTTGATCCTGAACTGCCATTACAAGTATAAGCTTAATACTGTGCTATCATTATTAAAAGCTTAACTACTGAACTGCCATTGTGTGTATATATATACTTAACCCCGGATTGTCATACCCAACCATTCATTCAGTTGTTCCATACCTGAATGTACAACGCCCAAACCAATAAACCCTTCTGTTAACAACCCTCTGAAGCTGAGATTCAATACAAACCCTTAGCATACAAATACCACGTTAGAGTCAGGTACTGATGTTGGACAAGAAGGCCGGGTTCGCAGTCTCCGCTCTAAGTTCCTCCGACCCCAAACTCGCTCAGCCATGTCTTTACGGACCTTGCTTTGTGCGCTGGTGCGCAGTCATGTTGGAACAGGAAGGGGCCATCCCCAAACTGTTCCCACAAAGTTGGGAGCATGAAATTGTCCTTGGGCCCCTTTTATTCTCCATCTACACCTCCTCCCTGGGTCAGTTGATAACCTCCCATGGCTTCCAATACCACCTCTATGCCAACAACACCCAAATGCATCTCTTTACCTATCAACTTACCCCTTCTATCTCCTTACGCATCACTAATCTACTCACTGACATGTCAACATGGATGTCACACTACTTCCTTTAACTAAATCTGTCCAAAACTGAGCTTATAATATTTCCTTCTCTCTGGATCCCCTCCCCAGACTTCTCCATCACAATGAACGTAATCATTGATTCTGAGCTCTCCTTTCAGCCCCACATCCATCCTAACATTATCCAAATCTTGCCAATTCAACTTCAGTAACATTTCCAAAATGTGTCCCTTATTAACAAATGGCACTGAAAAGCTTCTAATTCACTCCCTTGTAATATCTCGCCTCGACTACTGTAACTCTCTCCTTGTTGGCCTAACACTAAACAGGCTATCCCCCCTTCAGTCTATGGTATGGCCTTTGATATTGCTGCCATTGTTACATGCCCTTCTAGAATATGAATTTGTTGTACCCAAGCTGACGTTTGATTTTGTGGCTCCTGGATGGGTTCATGTTGAAGGGTCTGTGTATTTTCTTCTTGTTAACTACATTTTAAAAAGTAATAGGAACCAACTGTATGCAAAATGCAACAAAACCGTACAGCTAGTTATCTTTTGACAGAAGCCAGAGCCTGGAGTACATAAGCATTTCCCCCACCAGCATGCTAAAGAGAAGGAAGCCGTGCTCTCTGTGTGGAAGCATTGGTCTCTCTGTAGAGGTTTGACTCACACCAATTAAGTCAGACCTATATGTCTGCAATTAGCAAAGGTCATACTCCTTGCTCATTGGAGAACTCTAGCTCTGACTCAGCAGGTGGCGTGTAAGACCTCTGTAGAGAGAACCTATTTCCGTACTGAAAGCATGGGTCCCTCTCTGCAGCATGCTGGCAGGGCACAGGATTTTCTAATCAGAATGTGGCTTCTTTCTAAAAAATGTGCACACTTTTCTTTTTAAAGCAGCTGGAATATATTTAACTGACTAAAACTGAAAGTTCAATAGGGCTTTAAAACAAGAGGAAACACAAATGAAAGCAAATGTGGATGTTCATATTAACAAACAGGCAAAGTAAGACTTGCAATGCACTTCACTCTCCTTCATGCTGTAAGATTCAAAATTTTTCAAAGTCTTTAAAGTAAATCTTCAGACTTTTTTATTCATGGGGTGAAGGAAAATTTGAACTTCTGTCCATTTGTTATCTGTGTCCTCATTGAAGGGAGATCTCATCAGTTCCTGTTTTGATAATCAATCAGAAATGAGGATAGATTTCCCCAATAGACCTTCAGAGAGCAATAAAATACCTGGCAAAGGTTCTCAGTACCCCCACTCTATTCACAGCCTGGTTGGAATTCAGCTTTAAAGGGATGGATCATCCAAAACTGATATTTCAGTGTATGGTAGATGCTTAAGAGTTAAACCAGCTGACAATATGTTCGATCTCTCTGGGATTCTATATGTGAGATCTCTGCACTGATTTCCTGGATCGGCATACTTGCTATGCCCATATCCCAAAATCCCACCATCCCTGCTGTTTTTATCATGCACAGTGTAATAGGAGTTGTTGAAATGCACAAAGGTGGTGAAGAAGAAAAAGAAGAAGCCAGGGTCTACCTGCAACTGAAATATAATTCTAAGGTGGACTGATTGGCCAACTTAGCCATTAGCAAAAAATACAACTTTTTAGCATTTAATTGGTTAATGTTACTCATGGTCTTACTCTTTGAGTTGAGGAAAAGAGCAGGAGTAACTAATACAAATTCTTACTTAGAGCATATTCAAACACCAAAATGTTTTTAAATATATATTTAATATATTCAAAGATACAAGGAAGAAATCTAAAGAAAGTGCTACGGACACAATAGAAATTATGAACATTTTATTCCCTAAATAAGATGAAAAATGTTATACTATCGGGGGTTAGAGGCACAACAGAAGCTATATATTTAGGCTGAACTCCAGGTAGGAATACAATAAATAATGATTTACCTGAGATACAACTAAACACCTGGAGGGACGAGCACCCTTAAGTTAAATTAATGGAGGTCAGAAGCTTATATGGGATTATCAATAATCTGTTGTATAGTCTAGTAACATATCTACCTGTGTTTTGTTCATAGATTCGTGCCCCTGTGAAAAGGGGGCGCTGTTACTGACAATGGAAATATTACGTGTGATCGCTCTCATCATCCTGATCATCCTTCTTATCATAGTTATCAGAAATTCTCGTTAGAAGATGTCTCTGTTATGAAGATGAAACAAAACATATCTATTCTTTGTTGAAATATTGGTGCTGTGTATCTGAGTATCTGTGTAAGAATGAGAATTAGGAAGCTAGTCGTCCAAAACCTCTGATCACCATTCAACTCATCACTTCCTCAGACACACCCCTGCCTAACTTAAGCCTCGCCTCCGAATCTGAAAGCACCAGGATTACAGCCTGTTGGATATTTGGATATTGGAGTTGACTGAAGAAGTAACCAAGGCAACATATACATGGCTCAGGGCAACATGACTGCTATGGGTGGCTACAAATGGACAACGACCAATGTCATGGGTTAATACTAACTACACTTTTAGTAACAGAGACCAATAAGCCATTTATGTCAACTGTCCCTGGTTTACAGCAGTCTCACCTGTCTCACTCACTCTCACTCTAGATCTTCTCTTTCCCTCCCCCCTTTCTCTCACTCCCCCTCCTCTATCTCTATCTATCTATCTATTTATCTCATCTCTCTCTCTCCCCCTCTCTACTCTCTATTCTCTCTGTCTCTCCCTCTCTCCTATTTCTTCTATCTTCACTTGCTCTCTCCACTCTCTCTTCTCTTTCTCCTCTCTAGATCTTCCCTCTCCCTTTCCCCCTTCCTCTCCATCTCCTCCTCTCTCTCTCTCCCTCATCCTAATATCAATGGATAAGAAAGAATAGAAAAAAACAGACCTTTTTACACACCACCATGCCCAATTCAATTTATATATAAAAATATATTTTATTGTGTACATAATAATAATAATAATAATAATTAAGCTATTTAGGTAATTAGTAGTTGGTGGTAAACACCTTGAATTTTGGTGAGCATAAAAATAAGTATAGTTAAATTTATTTTTCTTTGTTTAATAAATCAATAAGGAATAAAGATGGACAGTTATTGTGATCATTGGGAAGGTTTGTATGTCTCAGATCCAGCAAAGATGAATAGCTAATTCCCAAAATAAAGCTGATATTGACATTTTTATCGTTAAGCTGAGAAAAAAAATTTGAGAAAAAAATCCAGCATGTTCTGGCATATTAAATATTTTGAGATGTATATTCAAAGCCATTACAACCCTTAGGGGCCTACGGATTCAGATATTTCCAAATATAAAAAATGTTGAGGTTGAATTTAAGGCAATGTGGGAAGCTAATTTACAACAATGTTTGCAAAATACGATAGACATGATGATTGGAGGTTACAAACAGGAAGTGATTAAGTTAGATCATGAAATATGGGAACTTTATTCCCAGTATGACAGTCTATTATCTACACCATCTTCATGGCAGCAGAAAGAAAAAGGGTTGAAGGAACATTTGGACAATTTTACAAAAGATTTAATTATGAAAAAAGACAAGAAATATATGAGATAAAAACATTGTGAAGGATATGTTTATAAATGACAGACTACAAGATTTAATCTGATTAAACAAACAGATTAATCTATGCAGAATCAGAATATTGATGAACCTTGTAAATTGGATTAATCAGTTTCTTCTATTTCTACACCAAGCTCACAGATGTTTTTAACATAGGGGACATAGAGGTCATGTTCAAGTTTTAAACACAATAAGGTGGGGGAATGGTTTTGATACACATGAAAATAGAATTAAAAGGAGATACGTCTCCAAAAAAACAGAATAGAAGTGCTTATCCATCGTCAAAGGATAGATCATTGAAATACAATGGAGTAGTGATGGTAGTATTCACGTTAACACAACAGGTGAAGGGTTCACTAATGAAACACAAATAGGTTTGAAGGAATGGGAACATTCAGGAGAAAGGGATGTCACAAGAACAGGTTTATGAGAATACATCACATAATTTGGGAGCTAGACCCGAAGAAAGTACAACTTTGAGGGTAGATCTGTGTAATGCTCCCTGAGGAGCTCATCCATTTTTTAGAACAGAGCGTGGGAGGGAAAGCAACAAATAGGAAATTTGGATCATTTCCTGATAAGAGTGACTCAGACTCCAACGGGTTAGATGTAATTAATATATTGTCACATGCACTCTCTGAGGATGAAATACAAGTATTACAATTAGGCTAAAAACTTTTGTCCGTATGAGAAGTTGGATACATTTGAACTTATAAAACATATGAATCTGTTTGCAATAAATCTTACGTTTATGTATATGTATGATAGGAATCAAAAGGGAGCATTAACAGATAAACACACGATAGAGTGGTGGTAATCATTGTC